TAAAAAAATGTTGCTATTTTTCTATTTATATGCTTGCTGGTGTATACAACTAGGGATTAACATATAATTTAGATTTTTTCTCTTTCAAATTCCATTTTCTAATCACCTAGGCAATTAGGTTCTCCACTATTGCCTAGAATTGCCTATATGCCTTAACAACTATGTTATTCAGATGGTTGCAGAGATCCACTAATCATCTAACAAACAGTTGTGCAAGGTCAGGAATACACAGAATCTGTCTTTCTATGGTGATAGTTGGGTTTGAGGATATGTTGCTTGTTAGTTGTTGGAGTAATTGATTTTTGGGGGAAAATTGCATTGAGGACTAGGTTGTGACCCACAAGGTCTGTAATCAATCTGTGATGCATCTACAAATTTCAAATCTGGTAGTGGGCTTTGAGTGTGAAGTAGGTAAACAGCAAGGAGACGGATCACTTAGAAGAAGAAATAGGTAGGAGAATCCTGACAACAACCAAAGTTCACTAAACCAAATTTTATTTCATCAATTCTTCTAAGGACTCAGAAACTGACCCAACTTTTACTTTAGAGCTAAGACAAACCCATAAAGTATTAAGTAACCTATAGGAACACTTCAATAATGATCCTAACTCCCAAACTACGCCAATGATACCTTACAAATCCTACTAAAACTAACATAATGTAAAGACACTAGAATTAACTAAAAATAGTAACTTGTTATTTTACTCTAAATAGTAATTACAAATCCAAGTATTTTCAAAATTATAGTAAATTTCTTGAAAACTTGGAACCCTATTCTTTTTTTTTGATAATCGAACGAAATTTATAAATCAGCAATGATAAATAGTACAATGTACCCAGGGAGAGGCACGAGATGCAACCTTTCCAAGCTAGTTAAGTACAACTTTCCAATATATTAGAACAAGTTACAATGTAGGACACAAAAGATCCTCCTTGGAAACCCCTTGTTTGCCAAAGAATCAGCCATAGTATTAGCTGACCTGCTTACCCATTTTATCTCAACTCTCATATTACTGGTCAACTACTTTACTTTTTTTATGAGATCTTTGTAGCCCCAAATGGTAACATTCGGGTTTAGAAGCCACCTTATTACCACCTTGAGAGTCCCCTTCAACTAGGAGATGTTCCACCCCAAGCTGGGCAGCGATCTGAATTCCTTGTACGGCAGCTAGTATTTCTGCCCTTGTAGAGTTCCCCACTCCTACCGGTCCTGAGAATAAGGAGATGATGTTGTTGTCCTTATTCCTTAGGACACCCCCTATACCTGAAGGCCCAGGGTTACCTTGGATGCTCCCATCAAAATTTAACTTGATGACACCTTTAGGAGGTGGATCCCATTCTAACAAACTTCTATTATTCTTTGTAGAAGTATTAGCTATTACTAACCAATTCCTCCATAGGTCATTAAAAGAGAAATCAACAAATATATCCAAGGTTTCAGCCAATGTATTGCTCTTGTTAGAATATAGTCCTTCACTTCATCCAAGCTTCTTTCCTTCTCTAAGAAGACTCTTGCATTCCTTTCCTCCTAGAGAGTCCATAAGGTGGCTGCCCTGATACATTTCCACATGAACTTGCCGCTTCTAGTGTGCCATACAAAAATAGATGGGTTAAATAACAAACTCACATCAGATGGCAGAGACCACCTACCTCCAAATAAACTAAGGCTCCAACTCCATAAGGCTGTAGCAAAGGAGTAGGAGATCAGCAAATGGAAACAATCCTCATCTTAAGACACCTAGAACTATAAAATAAATTAAAAAGCTTAAAATAAATAAGATGTGATTCAGACCAATAAAAAATAGTAAAAATATTTCAGATTATAGCAGAAGAGGAAGAGAAGAAGAAGAAGACAGCAAGAAGAAGAAGGATGGAAAAGAAGGGAGAAAGGAGTTTGATAATCTGCTCTTTCTCCACTCTAATCTCTTATTAATCTTACTAAGATTACATAAATTACAAATCTGCCCTTAAATGGGCATCCACCTCATCAGTATACTTGGAAAACATAAAAAGAATTAAAGGGCCATTAAGAACAAATAACAAGAAATAATTAATCAATAAGATAGTAATGAGCTAGGGCCCATTCGGCTCAGTCTCTCTGCACTCTTATGCTCAGCTTGCTTATATAGTGAACTAGCTTTCCTTTAGGAACACCTTTTGTTAAAACATTAGCCAATTATTCTTCAGAAGCAATAAATGGTAGACAGACTTCTCCTGAAACAACTCTCCCGTATAAAGTGCCTGTTAGCTTCTATGTGCTTAGTTATGTCATGCTGAACAGGGTTATGTGCAATGTTGATAGTGGCTTGGTTGTCACAATATAACATCATTGGCTTCTCACAGTCTTTACCTAGTTCTTCTAAAAGTGATCTCAACCACAAAAGTTCTGAAACTCATGTGCCATTGCCCCATACTCTGCTTCATTCGAGGATCTAGCCACTATAGATTGCTTTTTACTCCTCCATGATATGTTGGTCATATGGTCTGATGCACCAAAATCTATAATCCAAGGAATTCTATGATTACCTAAGGCTATAGCATGATTTGCAGAAGCACGAATACCTGAATGGACAAATGCGGATGAAGAGGTGTTGCCTGAGGAGGAAGTTGCAACAGTAGTCTCCAAGTGATTAATTAACCTCCCATATCTCTCAAATTCTGCCTTCACTATTGCCAGCTTCTCCACAACAGATTTTTCTTCACTTTCTCTATTTCCACCTTCAAATGCTGTAGCAACATTTGCATTCTTGGGCTTTCTAGATTGACCATCTTTCTTAAAGTTGTTGTTGTTGTCCCGAAACCTATCTGGAAGAAGATCTGGATGAAGTTTCCAACAAGTATCCTTAGCATGTTTTGGTTTCTTGTAGTATTCACATTATCACCTCTTTCTTCTTAGTTGACCTCTTTGGTTTTGTTTTAGCATGTGCAAAAATGTTCTAAAGGTGGTGGACCCTGTAACTGTACCTGTCGCCTGCTTTCTTCACTGCTCACCATAGAATACGCCTGAGCAAGTGTTACTTCATCATTGGCTAGAATATTATGTCTTGTAATATCAAATTCAAGGTTAAGTCCTAAAAGAAACTAAAACACCCTGTTTCTTTCCACAAATTTCCTGAATGTCTCTACATCCTTGGTGCTTTCCCATGCAACTGCTTCCATAACATCAATCTCCTGTCATAGTGACTTCAACATTGAGTAGTAGTACAACTACACTCTTCTCCACCAGTTTCAGATTATTCACATCATTCTTCAGTTTGTAGGCCCTTGCAACATTCAATTTCTAAGAATATGTTTCTGTAACATTATCCCAAATCTCCTTGGCTGAAGTCATCCAAAGATAATGTTGGCGTATGTGGGGCTGCATAGAATTTACCAACCATCCAATAACTGTGTAGTCCTGCATCCATTTCTCATATGTAGGATCAGTCTCTTCAGATTTCTCTTTACTGCCTATGAGAAGCCCTAGTTTACCTCTACTATAGACATGAATCTTTATAGATTGTGCCCAAGCTAAATGATTTGTTCCATCAAGTTTGATTGTAGTCACTCCTGGCAAAATGGAATCTATGGGACCAACCATTGGCACCGGGATCAGCTTCATCTCACTTCCAAATTGCTCCATTGATCAAACGAAAATCAAAAAACAAGATTTTCAACCTTTATAGACCTAACTGAGGTCAGTCCAACACTTAAAAATCCCAAAACTAGGGTTTCACTATACCTAGCCTCTGGGGAAAAAGAGAGAAGAAGTAGCCGCTCCAACCAGAGCTTCCCAAACCTCTTCCAACTACAACTGCTCACTTTTGGAGATCAAAAGGAAACCCTCCAAGCCTCGAGTTCCACCCCCAAACAGTCTCTTTAACTTGTAACTGAAAACTCTCTAGTCGGCTAGGGCTTTGGGCAAAAAATCAGCAGCCCCACTTCTTGGCAATCTACGGCCAGATTCTGACTCTCCAAACCCTCTACCAACTAGACATACAAGTTCTCTGAATAATCAGCAACTTATATCTCTATACACCTTTTGATTAGAAGAGTGTATGGGTAAAGAAAAGAAAAATAAAAGAGAAGGAAGACCTGTTATGATACGAAGATGTGATTCAGACCAATAAAAATTAGTAAACATATTTCAGATTATAGCAGAAGAAGAAGAGAAGAAGGAAGAATGGAGAAGAAGGGAGAAAGGAGTTCGATAATCTCCTCTTTCTCCACTATAGTATTTTATTAATCTTACTAAGATTACATAAATTACAAGTCTTCCCTTAAGTGGGTGTCCACCTCATCAGCATACATAGAAAACATAAAAAGAATTAAAGGCCTATAAAGAAAAGGCTCATTAAGAACAAATAACAAGAAAGAACTAATCAATAAGATAGTAATGGGCTAAGGCCCATTCGACGCAATCTATCTACAAATACCAATATCCCTATCATTCAAAAATTCAGAAATTGGTATAGGAATTGGACAACCAATCTACTTCTCCATGAATTCTTTCTTTGTTTCCATATCTTCATCAATCTTCCATGTCCTCCCTTATTTATCTGTTTTGTTTCTCTTATTTTGATTGCTTTAATAAAATAGTGAAGTTATGCATTCATTCATAAAAAAAAAAGTGAAGTTATCTATAGAAAAAAAATTAAAGGTTTCACTTCAAGAGAATACTGGACATTCTTTTCCAGTTTTCTTGAGTGTAGACTGAGAGAGCTACCTTCTTTTTTGGTTAATCATGTGAGTCTTACTTGATTCATGTTTTATTTTTGGGAATATACTGGTGATTAGAGGACAGCATTCTCAGCATTGTTCTTGCTGGAGGCATGCCACATCTATATATCATCTCTTTATACATTATATATTCATATGAAGAAACATTCATGCTTGCATATGCTATCTCATTGTTATGTAAAATTGGTTCCTTGATGCAATATATGGATAATATTCAATGGATTTGGTCAATGTGTTGCATCTTTACTTTGATCTCTAATCAATTTCTAAATGCTTTGCAGGAACTAAAAAGGAAGGAGGAAGCTGCTGCGCGAGGTGTTTATCATCTCTTCTATGTGTAACACTTAAAATAATCATTCATCAAAAAACACTTAAAATAATCAAAATGATATTTTTTATAGCATTCAAGAAGATTTCTTTTTGTTGCTTTTATTACCCACAGATTTTGAGTTTTCTGTTTTCTTTGACAGCTGGAATTGTTATAGAGGAGAAAAACTGGCCGCCATTCTTTCCCATTATTCATCATGACATTGCAAATGAAATACCAATCCATCTACAAAGGCTGCAGTATGTTGCATTTACAACACTTTTAGGTATTATTACTCCCTTATTTTGTGGATGTTTTGTACTTTTGTATGTCATTCTTATAGTGCCAGAATGTTATCTGCTTTCAAAAATTGTGTATATGGGAGTTAGTCAATTTACCCAGATATGGAAGGGACAGCTGGATACGGTATCAGATATGAAACTTACACTACAAATTTAAGTATCTGACATGATATGGTGCCTTTGTATGGATATCATAGGAGTTAGTCTCTTGGAAACCACTATGTCATGATCAAGATGCAACTTGCAAGCTTGCAAGCTTTGTCAGTACAGCCATGTAAAAACCAAAATACAAGAAAGGAGTTTAACCATGATTATTCAGGAATTGGAATCATGTCCCTTGCATAAACATGGTTTAAAATGTCTAATATTTCCATTATTTTCACGAAATATTTTCATTTTCACGGGTACTGAGATTAACATTACTAGAATATATCTCAACATATTCCCCACTTTACAATCTTTTACATTGTTCTAAGCAAGTTTTACTTTATTAAATATATCAATGTAAGGCTTCCTATTTACATGCACATAGATATCTTTTTTATCAAGAATACAAACATGCAAAAAAAAAGAGGAGATAAGCTCTCTTAACTCCCTCCCAACATTTCTTACAGTTTACAACTGAGCCCAAAATAGATTGTCTCTATCCACACCTTGTTTTGCTAATACATTAGCAAAGGAATTAGTGCTTCTTTTGACCTAATGCAGTCTTACTTCCATGCCCTGTGTTATCCACTTGAACTTCTTCCTTTCATTGCTGTATCTTGAAAAACTACTTTCTTCCTTTTGCAGCCAGTCCACCACCAATTTGGAATCACCTTCAATGATCAACTTTTCCCTTTGTACATCTTCCAATACAGCCAAAATCTCAACCCTTAAGGCCTTTGCTTTCAGATTCAACATTTTTCTTAAGCAGTTTTTTTAAAAGTACAAGGCGCAAAACACACACACACACACAAAAGGGCCAGTTTGCAGCTGAGGTGTGTGCCTTTTTGAAGCAAGGCACAAAATGCAAAAAATGATAAAACAAGGGCCAAAAAAATTAAAAAAAAATTCAAAAAATTCAAAAACTGCAAACTATTAAAAATATTAAACACTATAAATTAAAAATATAAACATAAATTTTAAAATAAATGTCTTAAAACAACCTATTGTCTCAAATTAAAATACATAAACATAACATGTAAAACATATTTAAAATGAAATTTAAAAATAAATCAAACATAACATATTAAACATATTCAAGCATGTAAACTAGGTTGCTGTTGTATTGTAGTCCTCCTGGTGTTTTTCCACTAGGTTGCTGTTGTGTTGTATCTTCTCTCATCAATAAAATTTTACTTTACCTTCTCAAAAAGAAAAAAATAAAATAAAACATATTCAAGCATGTAAATTCTTAGTCTTGTTTTTTTTCCCAATTGCATTACTTCAAATAACTAATGTGATGTTAAACATTATACATTCCTGATTCTACGAACTGCCTTTGTACTAAGCCCCTTGAGGCAAGCCCAAATGATTGAATGAGCAACAATAGAAAATATGGGGTTCTCTCTGCTCTGGACAGGGGTCCGGGGGCAGAGCCCCTGGCCCAGCTGCTATGCATAAAAAAACAGAAACAATGCACAAATTTTCAAAAGGCGTGTGCCTCGGCTGAAGCACAAGCTGCACCAGGTGCACACCTTTTGAAAGTGCTGCGACCTAGGCGAGGGGCATACCCTTAAATGTTCCTAGGTGCGTCTTATCATTGTTCTTAAGATGGATTGTAAGTATTGCCAATTTGATATCCAATTTTTCAGTGATGGGGTTTGAGTAGTGATTTATTTCAGGGGACTTCTCTCCTGGTCTAATTTTGTTTTACATTTTGGCCTTTTCGCAAAATTTCCCTTTCTTTCTCTTTGTAAGAAACCCTTTTTTTTGTTGTGCTTTCCTTCAATAAAATTCAATTTCATTGTTCTTAAGTATTGCCAATTTGATATCCAATTTTTCATTGATGGGGTTTGAGTAGTGGTTTATTTCAGGGAACTTCTCTCCTGGACTAATTTTGTTTTACATTTTGGCCTTTTCGCAAAATTTTCCTTTCTCTTTGTAAGAAGCCCTTTTTTTTGTTGTGCTTTCCTTCAATAAAATTCAATTTCACCTATAAAACAAAAGATCATGCTTTGTATCTTTTGTCTAATTACCTTCAATATTCAACATAATCTTAACTCATCATTCTAAAGATTTTGCTGCTAAACACATGGCAATTTGTATGATTGAGCTTTCAACATTGTGCAGGGTTGTTTGCTTGTCTTTTATGGAATATAGTAGCAGTTACCACGGCCTGGATTAAAGGAGAGGGTTAGTTTGAAGTGTTCATCTTTTGATTATCGATCTTATTTATTCATTTGTATTGTGTGACCTTGTTGTATATCTATGATGTTGTAGGTGTAAAAATCTGGTTCCTAGCTATTATCTATTTCATATCAGGGGTTCCAGGGGGCTATGTGCTATGGTACCGCCCTCTTTATCGTGCTATGAGGTACATACCATTTCTATGCTTCACTGAGACATAAAGGTGACTTACTTTCCTGTTTGCCCATTATGCCAAAAGAAAATTCTGAAACCTGTAGGCTACATAAGATGGCTAGCTGTCTAGCTGTAAAATTATGTAGCAGGTATAGCCCAATTCTTTATTTATCTGGCATATGCCATATAGATCTTCTTAGCTAAGAATGGACCTAATTAGGTGATTGCATAAACCTTTAATTTCATAAATGGCTTAGATGGTCCAGAAAAATATTGGAAATGAGGTTAGAAGATTTCATTTCTCAATTTTAGATAAGAATTGGGATGTTGCACTTTGTAACGAGAGCCCTTAAAGGCCACACACAGACACCTATTTTTTGCTTTGAGTCCTAAGTTTTATTTTTTTTATTTGTTTCATTGGCTACATTATGGTCCCATCTGATTTGCCCTACATGTTGTATATGTTATTCATCATTTTATGGTCGAACTCTGCCTTTGTTTCTCATGTTTGTGGTTAATGAAATTTCTCCTTTGTCTCCCCCCCCGCAAAAAAAAAAAAAGAATTCATTTTTTGGTTAAATGCTTCAACAATGATTTCTTACATAATTACAACATTGTACCTAACAACCCCTCTCTTTCTTTTTGTCCCTCTCAGGACTGAAAGTGCTTTGAAGTTTGGGTGGTTCTTCCTGTTTTACTTGGTAAATTTATTTTTATGTGTTTACTCTAGATCAATTGGATCCATGTCTGGTATGTATACTGGTTTTATAACTCATATTTCTTGATTGTCACAGCTCCACATTGGTTTTTGCATCTTTGCTGCAGTGGCACCTCCTATTATTTTCAAAGGGAAATCTCTCACGTAAGTTTATCCTTATAAACATAGATGGGTGATATTAGCTCAGATAAATGTGTTGGGCCATGTTTTCAGACCATCATTGACCTGGTGGTTGAACTGGCAATGTGGACAGCTGACTAGATTCTGGGTTTTTTGATGGTTTGACCAGGCCAGTGAGTTAACTTCCTGGTTAAACTGCCAAGCTCCACTTGTTGGTTTTCTGGGTCAATGGACAGTCCGAGTAATTAAAACATTGGTTTTGGGTTCGTATTTTCAACATGTTAATTTCTCCAAGGCAAACAATAATCGGGAGAACCTTGAAGATAAACTGGCTTTAGTTCATGGTCTCATTTTTGTTGTATTGACTGTAATAACTATTGTCACATTATTTCTGGAACAATGAAAAGTAGATCAATTAGTCTGCACTTGTAGTAATGGTTGCAACCAAAGCATAAAAATTTGCTTGCAATAATGGTTGTTGTTGGGGCATAAAGAGCAAGGACAGTCTACAATCCTGACTTCTCTCTCCCTGCTTTGTGCACAACAAAAATGTTTCATCAGCATCTTCTTTTGTATGCTACTAATAGGTTTTCTTTTCTATTCCTGTGGAACAGGGGTATACTGCCTGCAGTTGATCTCATAAGTGGCAATGTTTTGGTTGGGGTAAGTTAAAATTTTAGTGTTATTTTTAACTGTAGTCTATTATTTCAGAAAGACCGACACTGCTCATGGCATATAGCTGAATGATGCGGGTGCACTGATGTCTTCAAGTGTATGCATAAAATAATTACTTACATTTATGATCTCTCATCTCTGAGATCCTGGTTATTTCTTATCATTTATAGGCATGTGTTTCAGAAAAAAACGGAATTGTCTTACTATGAATGATTTGATGATCTTTGTTTTCAATCTTTAGATTTTTTCATCCAACTTAAAGAGTGGTCAAACTATCGATTCGTATCAGTTTTCAGGGTTGCTGAAATGCTAAATACTGAGAGTTAGGGCCTTCTAATAGGTTTAAACGATTAAACATTAATACCCATCCTAAAATATCTATTTGTGGATTTATCGAACTGAAAAAAAAATGAGTATTGATTGTTGAAAACTCTGGAAAGTACCTATAGTTTGAACCGCGGTCAAGAGTCAAATCTATAAAATCTTGCTGGTCTTGAATCCTTGACTCTAATTAGTAGTTTCTTCTTTGCTTATAGATCTTTTACTTCATTGGATTTGGACTGTTCTGCGTTGAATCGATGATCAGCATCTGGGTCATTCAGGTCAGCTTTCTTGTTTCATTACACCCCAAATGCCACCTACACCGACAGACTTATGAGTTGTATTCCAATTCTTCAAACTTTTTTGTTCTCTCCTTGTGTGCAGCAAGTATACATGTATTTCCGAGGTAGCGGTAAAGCTGCAGAGATGAAGCGTCAGGCTGCAAGGGGAGCCATGAGGGCAGCCATATGACATGGCATGAGATAGTTGGAACAAAGCATGATATAGATATGGCAGATGGATGGATTGGATGTGCCCTCAGCCGCAAGGGAGCAGATGGAAAAATTTCATGTGTTGGCTGGGTCGTTTTCTTCGTATGTTACATAGCTTGTTTTGTTTTTTATTCTTTATGTTGTTTCTTAGGGTATTATCAAAGGACTTTGATGTAAACGGGGGGGTTGATAGGAACTTGATGGAAGCAGAGTATACTTTGAATTTATATTGGAGGAAGTGCAGATTGCGGCTTCAGTCATTCTTGACATGTTTGTATGGTTTGTATTTGTTGTTTATAGAAATCTTCGTCTGATCATTGTATTTTCAACCGCCATTTTCTCTTTTTTCTTTTAGACAGGCCAGAGGTTCAAGGCATCAGAAAGAAATGCAGAGAATCATCAGAAATGCAATTTTAAGGTGAACTGGAATATACCTTGGAAACACCATGATTCGGTGGAAAAGTTAAGATGCACATGTATCAAACCTATCCTAAAAATACATCAATAAAATTGCATCTTAGTTTCAAATGATTATAAATAAGGTATATAACAATAAATTTTATTACTTTTTTTGAACTGTAAATTATCAGGATGTGCTAAAGAAAGCAAAGTTTTTATAAGTCTGAAGGTCCAGTCAAGGTCTTTGCCTCAAAAATATTCTTTTTAATATGAATCTTATGTTTTTAAATTTTTACTTTATATTTTGTATTTATTTTTTTGCTTGTATTTTGTTTTCTGTTTGTCAATTATCTTTCTAAATTCAATAAGCTATACATATATACTAAAATTGTTTATAATATTTTATGCATTTAAAAATTCAATTATTTTTATTTCATAAAAAAATATATTTACTTTTGTATGAATTTTTAAAATTAATCTTATGTTTTTAAATTTTATTTTATAGTTTGTTTCATGGTTATAACGTTTTTCACCTCAATAAAATAATCCATCTACTTAATTTGCGTATATAAACAAATTAAATTTATTTTACTATTCCTTTATACATTCTTTGATAAATTTATTTCTTTCAGTCATTTCATGTATTTATTTATTTTTTCATTTTAATATGATTTCATTTTAAATTTTGTTTTACATTTATGACCTTTCTTACCTAAAAATATAGTTTCTTTACTCAGTTTGTGCATTCTAGTATCTTTTTATCAATATGACATAATGAAGAATGTCTTTCAGTCTTTGTATTGAGGATGAATAATTATTATCAGCCAAGGGGAGGTTAATTTTTCATTATATAAATATAATAAAAAGTAGAATTAGGTTGAAAATGAAGTTAAGATTAGGGTTAGGGTTGGGATTTAATAATTCGGATTGGGTTAGGATCGACTTCAACCGACCTAACCTAGCCCACTTATGTTAGACAGTGTATGCCGTTAGCTCCAATCAGGGTAAGATGACGAAACGGCCATTTAACGACCCTTAACTCCAATCACGATAAGCTTGAAAGATGTACAGGCACGCTTGACCTAATACATATTGATGTATGTGGTCCCCTGAGTGTTAGGACTCATAACCAGTACGTGTATTTCATTACATTCATCGATGATTATTCTCGATATGGTTACATGTACCTAATGAGACAAGTCTGAATCATTTGAAAAGTTCAAAGAGTTCAGACAAGAGGTTGAGAAACAGTTAGGGAGAGAAATTAAGACCCTTCGATCAGATCGAGGTGGCGAATATCTCTCTGACGAATTCATGGACTACTTGAAGGTCAACGGGATATTATTACAGTTAGCTCCTCCTGCTCCACCACAGCTAATGGTGTTTCAGAGAGGAGGAATAGGACCTTATTGGATATGGTTCGATCACTTCTCGTGCACTCAGAGTTACCTACATCATTTTGGGGTTACGCATTGGAGACTGCCATATACGTGTAAAATCGGGTTCCAACCAAATCGGTTCCGAATACTCCATATGAACTTTGGACTGGAAAGAAACCAAGTGTCAGACACTTGTACATTTGGGGTTGTCCTACGCACGTTAAAAGAACGAGTGCAGATAAATTATAATCCGAGACCAACCGTTGCCTATTCGTAGGCTACTCCAAGGGCTCTATGGGTTACCTATTCTATGACCCGGGTGAACAGAAGGTGTTCTGTAGTCGGAATGCCCATTTCTTAGAGGATGACTATATCCTGAACAATCATCGTCAGGAAGTTGTTCTTGATGAGGAGAGCTCAGGGTTAGTGGGAGGTGTCCCACAGGTTCCAAGTATTGACCAACCTAGAAGATCTACTCAGGTATCCAGGCCTCCAATCCGTTTTGGCTATGACTAGGATAGTTACCTGGTGGAAGCTATGACTAGTGAGGAGGATCCCGTGACTTATGCAGAAGCTATGTTAGATATAGATTCCTTGAAGTTGGTAGATGCCATGAGAGTTGAGATGGACTCAATGGAGACCAATGGAGTCTGAACTCTAGTGGATTTGCCCCCCGGGGTAAAAGCAATTGGTTGCAAATGGATGTATAAGAGGAAGAAGGGCCCTGATGGTAAGGTTGAGACCTACAAGGCTCATCTGGTGGCGAAAGAGTATACTCAGAAAGAGGGCATCGATTATGAGGAAACATTTTCGCCTGTGGCCATGCTTAAATCCATTAGGATCTTGCTAGCTGTAGCAACATACCATGACTATGAGATTTGGCAAATGGATGTCAAAACTGCGTTCCTGAATGGAGATCTTACTGAAGATATCTATATGCAGCAACCGCAAGGTTTCATAGCTGCGGGTCAGGAACACATGGTATGTAAATTAAATAGATCCATATATGGACTTAAGTAAGCTTCTAGGAGTTGGAACATCTGGTTTGACTTAGAGCCCATGTGATGGGATTCAGGGGGTTCACTGTCTTTTCAGTGAATTCGGACAGGCCTTGTAAAAGAGGCTGGGTTGAACCCATGTGGCTGATGTATAGATCAATGTTTGGGTCCCACACCATACAAAGAAGCCCAACTGGGCAGTAGTTTGGAAGGCCACTGAGCACATAAGACTTATTGGGCCTAAAGCCCATTTCGAATTGGTTTAGTTGGACTAATTAAAGTGAGAGGCGGAACTGGGATTGGATCAGCAGATAGGATAGGGAGTTATCCCTATCCACTCAGAGAGTCCAGATTTGAATTTGGATCTGGAAGCCTCCTAAAGAGATTAGAAGAGAGCTGATCTAATCTGTAGATAAGATAAGGATTTATCCTTATCACTTAAAGAGAGTTCAGATTCAAATAAGGATTTGAATAAGGAAACACCTAATGGGATTAGGAGTTGATATCTTTAAGTCTATAAAAGGAGGAGGGGGTGAACCATTTAATCCATCCCAAAATCCTAGAGATCAGATCTCAAATCACACAGAGAGAAGACAGCAACAGTGTGACTACGCCATCTTCTCCCTGTGTTCTCCTCCAGTTCCCGCCTATTGCCAGTTCGATCTCCAGTTTTGTAGGAGTGATCAAGAATAGTTATTGATATCAGCCTTTGGAGAAAGGATGATCTGAAGTCGTGCTCACAGCCTCCATCGAATTCTTGCTGAAGGATTCGGTTCTTGGGAAGAACACTACCGATTCTGCTCCACCCTACACTGTGTCATCTTCAGTGGGAGCAGTCTTTGGAGATTTCTTTGGGCATGAACACCTTCATTAGAGGATACTATTTCTTCGTATCAGGTATATCCCTCTCCTACTGTTTTGGTTCAGATCTGGTTCGATTCTTAGTTCAAGATTGATCATTGAAAAATGCAGTTTTTCTAAAACAGGGAATGTGATTCCCAGGTGGGAGAGAGAGATTTTTGAAATTTCGCCCTACCTTCCTGCAGGGTTCGGCCATCCATATGATGGATCTCTCATCCCTTCATTTTGTTTTAGGAATGAAGCTTGAAAAGTGCAATTTTTCTAAATCAGGGAATAGGATTATTGGATGGGAGAAAGAAATTTTTGAATTTTGCCCAACTACCCTGCATGGTTCGGCTATCCATACGATGGATCTCCCATACCTTCAAGACTCACAAGAATTTAGAAACACTTGGACAAGATCAACAAGCCCGCCATTAAAACCATAGAGGTTAGTTTTCTCATCATCACTGTTCCATTGCTTTCATGTTCTTTGGTATCCTTCATTCTGATTTATTGACTCCTGGGTAGACCTTATTTTGAAGTCCCAACATTTTCTCATTCATTTGTTCAAAGCCCAGATGGAGATATCATTGCTGACTATGTTCACAGACATAAACATCTAGCTTTAGACTATCTTCTTCTGAAGAATCACAAGATCCAGGTACATACGTAGAATTAAAGCTAGCTCTATCTATCTATCTATCTATCTCATGAGTTTGCTCGTATGTCTGTAACAGAGAGCACCACCAGAAATGTCAAGAATGAGAGTGAGCAAGGAAGAAGGGATTAGAAACAAGATTAATGGCAATGAAGGAATAGGACGTGCATGGCAAACTTGGCATCAAGGGAACGGTTCCCATAAGGTGAAGCTCAATGAATGATGTGTTGAGAGCCAAATCTCTGTATCACTTTGGGAAGAAACAACTCATATGCAGGCTTCCTCTTCCCACCCATCAGGACTTGCTTCAACCATCAGGACACCCAGACCCAGTCATGGCCCACCGCCAATGCATCCATATCAGGGCCTCTTAGTTCACTCCCAAAGAACACCAAATGGGTCGCATAGGTCTTTTTTGGAATGGATGATGAGGGCAGATTTGGCCCTCCAATGGAATTATGACACCTGGCACCTCATGACAGCCAAGGAACTCACCAAGGAGCTAGTAGGGGTGTTCACGGGTTGGGTTGGGTCGGTTTATTGGGGTTTTCCCAACCAACCCGACCTGGTGGTTACCTGAGGTGGAAACCGAAACCGACCCACTGATAGGCCAAACCGACCTAGTCGGTTTGAGTTGAGTTGGGTTGGGTCGGTTTCGGTTTTGCTCCTATACAAAAGGACACCTAATTGAATTCTAATTGTAATTGCCTAATGGGTTTCCTATTTGGTGTAAAAGACTATAGAAAGTTAGAAACTAGGATAGATTGCCTATTTTAATTGTAATTGCCTAATGGGCCTTCTAGTTCTAGTAGAAGACTAGTTATAGTTAAGTAGGAAACTACTCAAACTAGGAACTACCGAACTAGTAGAAGACTAGTTCGGTTTGGGTCAGGTTAGTTTTGGTTTTCACACAAGAAAACCAAAACCGACCCGATATATTGGTTTATATATTTGCCCAACCCGAAACCGACCGGTACTGATGAAAACCCGGCCGACTCGGGTTGGGTCGGTCTGGGTTGGTCGGTTTGGTCAGGTTGGGCATTCTTATGAAC